TTTAGTTGATTTTTCTCCTTGCTCAATCCATTTTGCTTTTGAGCATATCTGCCATTTTTCTGCCATGTCAGTAAGTTCTTTCTGTAGTTAATAAATTAAATCATCTACTTGTGCTTGTAAACTGTTGTTAGATGAATTGTTTGCTAGTCTCTTGTTAAGATCTGTAATTTTTTTGTTGAGTTTCATGATATTGTTTTCAGTTGCTTTGGGCTTTTTGTAGGCTCTAATAATTGATTGTATTTGGATTTTAGTGAAGTCCCAGTTATTGCTGTTTATTGCTTTTTGTAGTTTTTCTCTTAGATCCTTCTCAAGCAGAATGTTTGTAAAAGTTCTTTTATCAAATTTCCAATTGTTGGTTCACTTGAGGTTGGTTGAAAGTTGAAGACACATTTCACTAACTTGTGATCTGAATTACTGTATAAGGTGTTTAGCTTTGTAGCTAAGTGTGAATGATCCTTATCAATAAAGATATAATCAAGATGAGAGGCCATAGTTCTATTTTCTTGGGTTCTTTGAAAGAAGATAAGAAGAGGTATGTTTTCTAAGACCGAGAAGGTATCTGTAAAGTTCTTAAGATTTTCTAAAAACAGAGTCTTTGAAATGTCTTTTTGAGCTGATAAAACACTAATTCGATCTCTGTCTAAATAAATATTTGTATTGAAGTCTTCTTCAATTATATTTATTGCTTCTGAATTTATTGTTGGAGTCCATCGATTGAAAAAAAGAATTCTATCAGATTGATTTGATGGTGCATATATATTTGTGATTTTGAGAGTATAGTTTTTGTATGATGTAGTTGTTGTAATAACTTTTCTGTTTTGTTCAATTTTGTTGTCTCTAAATAAGATATTTTTATTTCCTGCTAGAATTGCTACTTTCTTGACCAAATTGAGTCGAAAGGCCATTGTTGTTGCAAAAATTCTCTAGTGTCTTTGTTGCTAAGGTTTGTTTCTTGTAAAAGAATAATGTCCAATTTATATGATTTTAATAATGTTAGAGTGTTTCTTTGTTTTTGTTTGTCATTGAGCCCCTTAACATTTAGGATTGCTGTTGTTAGTTTTGATTTAGTCATTGTTTAGATAAAGAAAGGATTTGTGTATTTTTAGAGGTCTTATTTTTATTCAGAATTCTAGTTTTCAAATAGGGTTTGTCTTTTTCTTGCTTTTTGTAAGAGCTTCTTTTAACTTTTTTTCGCTTATTGGTAACTAAAATAAATTCTAGTTCTTTTTTCTCAAAGTCAAGGGGAGAGATAATTTGGTGTGTAGTCAGTTAACTTTTAGCTTGTTGTTGCTGATTAGGAGTAACTAAGTTCTCTTTATCCATTTCTGATGAAATTTCTTGTTGATTTGGGAGATCATTGTTATTCATTTCTGAATCAGGTTGGTTGCTAGCCCAAGTAAGAGATTTTTCATTGAATTGTGAAATAGTAACTGAATTCTCTTTTCAGAGAGTTGCTTCATTTGGTAGTTTGTTTTGCATATTGGAAGATTCTAGAACATTGTATAAAGGTTCTATTACCCTTTTGGTTTTGTTCTCTTGATATTTTTTATATTGTTGCCTAAGTTCAACTGCCTCTTTAAATTGCTCAGTCTTTTTTTAGATATTCTTCTTTGTCACAAAAGAAGCAGACCTTAGGAGCTGACTTCCATTTAGTTGTGACTTTGTTGTCTCATAAAAAGGTATAGCATGGAATTCTTGTTTCGAGTTCTGGATCATTAGTTGTCTCAAAGATTATGACCTATTGATAGGTTGCATAAGAAGTTCCTTCAATAAGAAGTGGCTTAATAGCTGTGATTTTTTCAAAGTTTTCAAAGGTCTCCAAAATTGCTTTAGAAACTCATTCTTTGTTGTTAAGTAGTACATTTCTAACCTTGATGAGCAAAAATAATTTTCTATTATTTGTAAGAATAAATCTATAATAGGTTTGGTTAAAAATTACTATGCCCTTGCTGGCATAGTATTTTGAGCCGCTCATTGTTAGCAAATGCTAGTTCTAAGCATGTTCTGTCACCTTTGGCAAAATGTTGTTTTGCAGCAATTACATCTTGTCATATGTGTTCATATAAAGAAATCATAATTTTATTAAAGAAGTGGTTTAAGCTTCTAATATCAAACACCAATGCATTATCATTTTTTGACTTAATAGAATTTCTAAGAGATGAGGCAGAGTATGTAAACTGCCCTCTTTTTAATTTTGCAAAAAGGCTGAACCATTGCTTTTTGCCCTCTTGGGGTGTGGTGTGTCTATATTAGCATGTGTTTCAATATATGGATTAACACATGCTTTACTGTGTACTTCAGATTGTGCCTCAGTACATGTTTCTGCATCAGCTATGTAACTTTCTTTTTATCATCATATGATGCTTCATGTGTACATGTTTTTGTTATTGTCAGTTTGTTGCTTACAGCATTATCTTTTCCAGTAGTTCTAGCTTTTGGGCTTTCATTGTTGTTTTTCTTTGTAGTGTTACTTTCTTGTTCTGTTGCCAAGATAGTACTTCTATTTAGTTCTTGCTCTACTTGTTTATCCCAGTTTGCACTGTTGTTCAAGAAAAAACTTGTCTCGTATTCTATGGTTTGCTTATTTAAAAGGAAGTTTGTTTCGAGTAAAACTCTTTTGTGTTTTCGAAGATTAAGTAGTATAAGTCTATATTTCTTAGGAACAAGGGCCTTTGCCCTAGTTCTAATAAAAAATAAAGGGTCTTTGCTTTCTTTGTTAGTTGTTATTTTGTCGACGATAAAAATCCTGTTCAAAACAGTAATAAACAGAAAAGAGTTTTTTCAATTAATGTTAAGAAGATTGTTGGTAATATATTTGATATGCTTCTAATTATTCTATATGATAATTGCTTTAGCTTGTTGTTTAAAGAATTTTCGGGTCTGATTGGCTAATAAATTTAATTTTATATTATATATACAGTTTAGAGTACTTTTTTAAAAAATGAAAACTAAACATAATGAAATAAAAAAAAGCTATATAAAAAGGTTTTGTTAGTGCTGTAGAACTTCATAGCCAAAAATAAGATCTAATTCTCATCTGTTTAAAAAAATTAGTATAATCTCGATAAAATTAACTTATTACTAAGCTAATTTTTTTTAAATAGACAAGAATTAGATCTTATTTTTGACTATTAAGTCCTACAACTCTAATGAAACCTTCTATACAACTATTTTTATTTCATTATGTTTAGTTTTCATTTTTTAAAAAAAGTACTCTAAACTATATAAATAATGTAAAATTAAATTTATTAGTCAATCAAATGAACTTCTGTTTATGACCTACTAGTTCTCTGTAGACCACTTAACATCTCTACTTAGTACTGTAGTAATATGAAAATAAGTTTTTAATAGCTTCTTTTTTTCTTTCCTTTTTCATATAGTACTTATGTAAGAATTTATTTTATTTTATAATGACAAAAATAAGACCCATATAATCAACCAATCAAATTTAAAATTGGCAATTATATAAAATCATAGTTAATTTTTTTTATTAAACACACTAGGTTGACACTTGATATATCCTTTTTCTTTCACATTGTTTTTTTTTTATACTTGTCAGTATATCCTTTGTCTTTTTTTTTTTTTTGCTTTTTTCATTTCTTTTCATTGATGTTTACTAATTTTTTTTTTTTTTTTTAGTTAATGATAGGTTAAGACTGATTGATTTTATTAGTGGTTGGTTGACACTTAGTGCATTCTTTTTCTTTTATTTTATTTTATTTATTTTTTTCAGATAACAGTAGATTGTCAAGGTTGACTTGGTTTCATTGATAGTCATTAAGCTTGGTGTATCCTTTTCATCAAAGTTTTTTTTTTTGTTTCTTTTCACTAATGTTCACTGACTTCTTTTTTTCAGATAATGATAGATTGTTAGGGCTGTCTTGGCTTTGCTGATGGTCAATTGACATTCGATATATCTTTTTTCTTTCACTTTGTTTTTTTTCATACTTACCAGTGTTTTCTTTGTCTTTTACTTTTTTTTTTTATTTCTTTTTATTAAATTTTCTTCTTTTTTTTTAGTGAAATTGAAGTTGAAAAGAATGAATATAATGTATTCATCAATTATTAAACATCAGCAGAGTTTAGTGACACTAACATTACGATGAAGGAATTGGAATTGAAAAGATGAAAATAAGGCATTCATTCATTCATTTCAAAAATCTAAGAAGTAAAAAATGCTAATAAAACATTTATTTAATATATATTAAAATAGATTTTACATGGCAATCCTATATGATCAGCCAATCACATTTAAGGTTGCTGATCATAATTTAGATTTAATAGTGGAAATTAGAACAGGAATCTTGTAAGATAAGTACTATTGTATTTTTTTATTGTTTTTTTTCTTTTTTTCTTCATAACTTGACCTTTTTTTTTTTGTAGCTTCAACTCAGTTGAAACATTGAGTAGTGAAGATTAGAACCAGGGTCTTTAATATAAGATAAGTATCTTCCCTTTCAGTGTTTGCTTTTGTTTTTTTTCTCTTCTACTTGAACTAATTTGCTTTTTTATTAGCTTTGCTAAAACAATGGGTAGGTCACTTCGGTATCATTATTGAGTATGATTTTGTTGAACCTTTCTTGGTGCAGTTTTGTCACTTTAAAATTATCATTTTCAGAATTTTTGTTGAAGTAGTAGGTAATGGAATCGGGATTTTGTAAGATAAGTATAGTGGTTTTTTATTGTTTGCATTTTTTTCTTGTCAGCTTAAACTAATCTGTTAGTTTAAACTAATTTTTTGTAGGGTTAAATAGTGAAAATTAGAACAGAAATCTTGTAAGATAAGTACTATTGTATTTTTTTATTGTTTCCTTTCTTTTTTTCTTTGTGACTTGACCTTTTTTTTTTTTGTAGCTTTAACTCAGTTGAAACGTTGAGTAGTAAAGATTAGAACCGAGGTCTTTAATATAAGATAAGTATCTTCTCTTTTAGTGTTTGCTTTTGTTTTTTTTCTCCTCTACTTAAACTAATTTGCTTTTTTATTAGCTTCACTAGAACAATGGGTAGGTTGCTTCAGTATTGTTATTGAGTATGATTTTGTTGAACCTTTCTTGATGTAGTTTTGCCATCTTGGAATTATTATTTTCAGGATTTTTGTTGAAGTAGTGGGTAATAGAATTAGGATTTTGTAAGATAAGTATAGTAGTTTTTTATTGTTTGCATTTTTTTCTTGTCAGCTTAAACTAATCTGTTAGTTTAAACTAATTTTTTGTAAAGTTGAATAGTGGAAATTAGAACAGAAATTTTGTAAGATAAGTACTATTGTATTTTTTTTGTTCCTTTCTTTTTTTCTTCATAACTTGACCTTCTTTTTTTTTTTGTAGCTTCAACTCAGTTGAAACATTGAGTAGTGAAGATTAGAATCAGGGTCTTTAATATAAGATAAGTATCTTCCCTTTCAGTATTTGCTTTTGTTTTTTTTCTCCTCTACTTGAACTAATTTGCTTTTTTATTAGCTTCACTAAAACAACAGATAGGTCGCTTTGGTATCGTTATTGAGTATGATTTTGTTGAACCTTTCTTGGTGCGGCTTTGCCATCTTGGAATCATCATTTTTGGAATTTTTTGTTGACATGGTTCTATCGGTTCAGTGTCACTATTGTATTTGTATAGTGGTTTTGGTGTGTCTATGGTGATTATATGGTGTCTCTACATTGGTTCTAATGTCTTCACATTGATAATAGTGTTTCTATGATACTTTTGGTGTCTCTACAGTGATTGTGGTATCTCTACGGTGATTGTGACGTTTCTACAACAGTTGTATAGTGTTTTAACATCTCTGCAGCAGTTTTGGAGCTTTTATGGCTATTTTATAGTTTTTTTGATAGGTTTCTTCATTCCTTATGCAACAAATATGTTTGTTGCACAATAAATATATTTATTAAATGAGCGGTTTGATTGGATCACAAGGTTGTTATGGTGACAGTTTGTAATGTAGTAGCATTCAATTTAAAATAAATTTAGAATATATTTATAATAAATTTATAATATATTTAAAATAAATTTAATTAAGTTAAAATAATTTAAATATATTAAAAATTAGAAAAATACTTCAATTAACCTATGGTGATTATCACTACCTTTATTTTTAGAGTTAGGGTGCAGTTTGAGACAGAAGCAAGGATTAGATATAATAGTCTGAATTTTAGGTTACACTAGGTTTTTAGGGGTTCTAAACATTTTTACTTAGTCTGCTTGACCCCTGTTTCTTAGTGTGTTTTTTGAGATATAGCTCCTAGGTGATAAACACCATAGGTTATAGTTAGTAATATTCTTAAAATTATTTTTATAATAAATTTAAAATTAAGTTAAAATATTTTTAAATATTTTTAAAATAAATTTAAAATTAAGTTAAAATAATCTTAAATATATTTAAGATATATTTAAAATAATTTTAATTTATATTTATAGTAAATTTATAATTAAGTTAAAATAATCTTAAATAAATTTAAAATATATTTAAAATAATTAAAAAATAATTTTAAAATATATTTAAAATTAAGTTAAAATAATCTTAAATATATTTAAGATATATTTAAAATAAGTTTAATTTATATTTATAATTAAGTTAAAATAATCTTAAATATATTTAAAATATATTTAAATTAATTTAAAATTATATTATTAATAAATTTAAAATAAATTTAAAATTAAGTTAAATATATATAAAATATATTTAAAATAATTTTAAAATATATTTATAATAAATTTAAAATATATTTAAAATTAAGTTAAAATAATATTACAATACAACTCTTTCTAATGATCATTCGAACCAAACTTTTCAAAAAGCCGAACTACAGAAAAATGATATAGTTAATATATTAAACTTTATAAAAACTTTTTCAGAGTACTGTACATGCATAGTTGAACATTGAAATAGAGTTAAAAAGAAGTTGCAGCTTTGTGGTGACGGTTTAAACACACTTTGGAACTATAGAAGAAGTAGTTGGTGAAAGCCAAAGTTTTTTTTATAAAGTAAACAACAAAGTTGGATATATTAGTTCTATACAACTGTAAAACCTACAAGAAACATCTATAAAGGTCAAGAATTCACAAAAGCTACAAAGTTGGTTCACCTTTCGTCTTTACTTTGCTTCAAGAAAATTTTGTAAAAGTAGGTAATTTAGCTTACCCTCTTCTAAAAATTGATATGTAAAACTACCAAAACAGTTAGTAGTATTTACTTCCTAAACAGATTGTTGATGTCATAGATCAAAACAAGACTATAATACAAACACAACTATACACATGTCTTGAAATACTAAAAAATCTAAAAATACTACCTTCAGACTAACTAGTGCTCTATACCGACCCTCTATGATCAAGTTGAAGATTTTTTCTTTCCTATATAGTTTTTTGTTAAATAATCTAAGTAAATAGAAAAATAGTAGAGTTATTTCTATTTAGTATAGTTTATAATTTTTAAAGACCTGACACAGGCATACAATTGTGACCATCTGATATTTGTGAATTGCAAGTTTCACACATTTCCTTTTTTCTTGTTTATTCCCTTTTCTCTTTTATTTCTTGATTTGTATCTTTTATTGTTTATCTCTATACCTCTGTTTTGTTTTTTATATAAAAATTTTTTTTTTTTTGTTTTTTGCTTCTCTATAAAAAAATGTCATCAGATTGGCAATATCCTATTGAAGAGTGGCAGTCAGACGAGCAATCTATCTCTAATTGGAATAGTGTGGCAGGTCATACTTAGGTACCATTTAGGTGGCTAGGTAATGCTAAACTTATATATTAGGAAAATTTTATATAATCTGTATAGTTTCAAAAATCCTAATAAAGTACTAGCATGACTGCTAAAATTAAAAAAAAAAAAAATTATTTAGTTTTTTTTTTTTTTTTGCTATTACTATTATTATTAGTATTATTATTATTACTACTATTATTATTATTATTACTATTATTAATATTATTATTATTACTTTTTTCTTTTTCTTTTTCTTTATTATTTATAAACCTTAGTCAAAGGTTTTCTCACTCTAAGTCAAGTATACATTTCTCAAGATTATTTATTTCTTGGAGAAGCTTTTTCTCAGATTTTCTTTTTTTCAATTCCATATAAGCATTATTGAGTTTATTTTTAAGACAAATACAGTTTAGACAACCAGAACCACTTGTATATTCTTTAGTTTTCTTTTCTAACCAAACTAAGAAACTTTGAACCACTACTACCATATCTTGTAGAGAACCAAGATGGGTCAACAGATCTTGATGAGAGGCAGTAGAAGTAGAAATAGATAAAGAAACAGAAGATTGGATCATGTTAAAGCTGTATTTTTCCAAAGACATTCTTTTAACTAAAATGAAAAATATAAAGAGATTGTTAATATTTTTCTATAAAGTAAAAAAATAACAAGATAATGAAAAATTCTGTCATAATAGAGGAAACAAAGGAGAAGTACACATAAAGAATAGAAAGAGCTAGCTGTACAATATTAAATATTAAGCTACAATCCTTTCTTGCTTCAACCTGGGCACCTAAGGAATTAAGCTAGAAAAAGAAGAAACTTCAAGCGATCTAGTAAAAAAGCTAGAGTTCCTTTATAAACTAGTATGATAATCATAGAAGGAAAAGTTGAAAAAGAATATAAAAGAATAATAACTTTTTAAATTTGACTATATTGATATTAATGAAAACTAAATGAACAATCAATCAGTTTTATAACAAAAAAATAATTATAAAAAATTTTGTGACAATAAATAATTATTTTTCTAAAACAAAACCACCAAAATCTGATCAGTTCAATTATTTTCTACTCCTAGTATCTTGAACTATTTGGAAAGTTCTAGAGAAAAATTCAAGTTTATTATTGGGCTTAGAATAATAAACCACTATAGTTGTCAATTATCAACAGACAAATAACTAAATATAGAAATTTAATATGACAATAGACAAGATTAAAGTTCAAAGGCTAGATTAGTTGATAGAAACTTTTAGAATATTATTGATAAAATCTAAAAATAGAATAGTGAAACAAGATTAGATATCAATTAGAAGTTGATTTACCAAATTGAGAAATCAATTAGAAATTGATTTAACAAATTTAGAATAATAAAGATTTATAAGTTACATAATTGCAAATCACATGAAATCCTAGCATTTTATTGAACACTTTAAGTATCCTAATGATCTCCAAAAAAGGTACAGATTTGAAATTTTATAATATTTCTGGTATGGATTAATAGTCTAAGGTATATTATCAGGCTGTAGAGGTCATATATTCAAGACTGGCTAGGGTGAGCTTTCTGCTAAAATCTAAGTCTTGTAAGGCCTTTGGTTAAAGTACTAGAAATAAAATTTTTTTTATATACTCCTCTAAACAATTATATTTATTTTTATTATTATATTAGAATATTATATTTATTAGTTAGATATCAATACTTTATTAGTTTATATATATA